AGAAGGAAATGCAGAAAAGATGCTCAGCAGCATCCCTTGCACTGCTCCTTGGTCAGGCCAGACTGCTGAGGACCACTGAGGGTGCCTGTCTGGCTGACAGCACAGCCCTGTCAGGGGCTGAGCAGCTCCTTCACAGATGGAAAACCGTGGGAACAGCGCTTGGGAGGGCAGTGTCAGACCCTCATACAGATGAAGCCCCAGGCCAGGGTCTGTTTTGCTGAATAAATATATTGTGCTTGAAAGAGATCCTTATTCACTGGCTGCATGTTTTAATCAAAAAACCACAGTTTTTTGAGTAAAAAACATGGCTTATTTTAGAAGCAAAGTACTTTTTGCTCTGGAAGTATGCCTTAAAGATCGCTTATTGTAGCCTACAGAAGGTTTGTAGGTGATAGAAGTTGCTGTCTGGCTAAGGTTTTGTGAATCAACAGGGTGGATGTCAGGTATTTTTCTGGAAGCTACTTGTCCCCACAGGCAATATTTCCCAAGTTCTATTGCAAATGGGGCTGTGTCATGGTCATGAGATATTGCAGCTCCCCAGATAGTAAATCCTTTAATTTAGATTTACTTTCCTACATTCCTGAAACCCACACATCCCTCTAACACAGCCATGACAATGTGTTCAACTTCTCTTTCATGACCACAGTATAATCAAGCAGGGCCTTCTACCAGGCCCTTCCCCTGAGTTCCCCTTTTCTACACAAGTGAGCCACTGTAAAGTCCTGCTGCTGCCAGCTGATGTCCTGGATCACTACCCTGCTGCAGGAGGGGAGTTCCTGCTTGGGCTTCTGAAGCACAGACATTAAGAAGAGCGAGGGTGTGAAATGAGGTGGATTTCCATGAGGTAGTTTCCATGTTCTGTTTCCATGTTCTGTTGTGACCGAACAGCAGAGACACAGCCAGAAGGGACAGAAATGCAAGCATTGGTCTGGCTCTCAAGGATGTAGGTAGCAAGAGCTACTGAGGTCTAGCTCTGTTTTCATGAGAGCAACACGCTAAGCTCTGATTAGAGTGATCCTGTTGTCCCTTTGTCTCATGGTCCTGGTCCTGCCCAGCTGTGTGGTAGCCCCATTGAAAGGAGCAGTTCTGCTGGCACTCAGCCAAGTGCTTAATGCAACATCCATTGTTTCACTCGGGCCCACAAGAGACTTAATGAACAAATATTTTTCTTTCTTCTTTTTTTTGGGGGGGGGAGGGTGTGTGGGGTGGGGAGTGTTTGGTTTGTTGTTTTGGGTTAGGTTTTTTTGGAGGGGGCTGTTGTTTTTCAGAGGGAGACTTATTTGACTGAGTAGACAAAAACAAGTACCTTACACTTTGTGGAGGAAAGTGGCCAGCTAGAGGACTGAGAATCGCAGTTTTGAGGTTCTTCCTCTAGTGTTTGTCCTCAGGAGCCTGAGAAGCCTATGCAGTGCTCTCCTACTCCACAGATTTTGTTCAATCTGCCACCCTTGGAAGGCTATGTACTCCCTCCTGCTCTCACAGCTGAAGCTAACATAATTTCCACTTTTCTCAGTGTTTCAGAGATTTTTCCAGAAGAATCCTAGGGCAGCAAATGAGTCTTCCTTCTCATCAGGTGGAAAGGGAATTCCCCCTTGAAAGTCTTTGCACAATCCAGATGTTAAATCCTGGCCTTAATTTTGAGAGATGCAATACAATATATAAACTGCAGTGAAACTTGCTGCTGCAGTGCATTGAGACAGGGATGAAATATCTTTGGTGATGGATTCGCCAACAGTGTGCTAAAAACTGGGAGGAGTGTTGCAGGATTTAATACGTGGAGACATTTGATATTTCAAAGTTGTTAATGTTTGCAATTTATAAAAAATATTATGCTTGATGTGTGCAGCAGCTAAATCTTTCTTGTTGCTATTCAGAGCTGATTTATCTCTTTTTAAAAATTGATCTCAAGCCATACAAGATCTTATTACTCCCAAGAGGAATTAAATAGCTCAGGCATACTCATTTAGATGAAGTTCACCCTCTGACCTGTTATTCATATCTCCAGTTCATACCTGTCCACTTCATTTTGCCAGAAAAGCTGTTTAATCCTTCCTATTCCTCCCTCTTCTCCAAGCAACCCCACTCACTGAATTGAATTCCTAATCACAGAACAAACTTTCATCTTTCAAGGAAATAGGAGATTTTTATCTCAGTGGATAGACTGCCATAACCATGATGGACTGGACAACTTAAGGGACTTGGGTATATGGAATGTCTCATTGCAGTTAAAGTCAAATGAAGGCAGAGACTTAGATCCAGCTCCCCAGTAAATCTTGTATGGGCAGAAGTCCCTACTGACCACATGGATTTATTTTTAACTAAATATTTTCAAATACCTCTTTGGGTTTTTTTTCCTGTATTTTTCTGTCATTTTTTTCTGCATTTTTCTGCATGGTAACTTACAGATTCAAATGTATAGGGAACTTCTCACATTATAAAGCACTTTATGAGTAATGTTGTGTGATATCTTCAGTACCAATCCTCATTTTGATTCATTTGTTTGCTTTACTCAAGTTTGGGAGCCTCTTTTCCTCAGCCTTAAATAAACGTCTTAAAGCCTGTAAAAAAATATGATAGAATTTAGAACTATTTGAACTTTGAAGTCAATGAAATACCTGTACTAAGGGAAAATGGTCCTCTTAGTGTCACTTCATTCCCTATCCTATATATTAGACATGAAACTGAAGTCTTAAAGCTAGTCATTGAATTCCAAGAGCATTCATACATAGGTTGATAATTCAGCTTGGGAAAATAAACTTGAAAAATACATATAAAGGTTTGCATTTCAAGCCATCTCAAGATATGCAGGTATGCAAACTATGATGTATTTATCATTTATCCTTCCTCCAGAAACAGTCTTTTCCCAAAACTGGGAGTTTCCAAAGAGACATTTTACTTTTTGAAATTATGACCTGTTAGAATATCAGGCTTTTTGTTTAGTCTTACTGACTGTTATTTTTTATATTCTTTTATTTTAATCCTTTCTTGTCACACAGTCTACAGACTTGGTTCATGTTATTTTTTACATAGTTTTTTCTTTTTTTCCCCTCAGTTTGTCATCCTTTATCTTCTTCCAGCTCCTTTTGATTTGGAGATATTGGAAAATGGCAGAAAGAAATTGAAAAATGTCCCAAAATAATCTGGGACATTATAAGTATACTGCATAAGGGATTAAAGGAAAGGAAGAAGATATGGGACCGTATGAAAAAAAAAAAAACACTTTCTCATTAAAATATTAGGAAATAAACACATGCAAAGAGTGTCATTATCTCACTGCCTAGAAACAGGTCCAAATATTTGGTTTTCAGATTTTTAATTTTTTTTCCCCCAAATCCTTTTCCTGTTATCCAATAAATGCTATACAGGAATAAATTGTCCTGCACTCTCTCCCCATTGTGCTGTGGATTTTATTGAGATTAATTCTTTCACACAACATGCATGCATGCATGAAGGTTCTTATGGACACATATGGCATAATAAAAAAAATGTTTTATTAAGAATAAAAATATATTTTAACAAAAAGAAAGGACTAATGAACCTGAGACTTCCACAAGCTTTGTTATAATGTGTATAAACCCTTTATCTCTCCAGTGCAGGATGTATGTATTTTGAACCACTTTGTTCAGACTTCCATCATTTGTTGTTTATCCAGCTGCATCCCAAGGCAAACCTCAAGTTTTACCTTCTTTCAGAAACTCTTTCTTTCTTGAATTTCCTTCTCAGTCTGGTGAAAGGCTCCAGAGGATAAGACTCTCCATTCTTACATAGGATCTTGCATGCAGTTCTTATAGGTAGTAGATGTTAGCTATTTTCACCAATAATTTTCAAACACAGTCATGTCATCAATACTTTTTTTTTAAATTGTGGAATTAATGTCTTTATGGATGTACAGAGGCAAGCTTAGTTTGCTGGGGAGGTCAAGTAATTTGTCAAAGAATGGTGGGAGAAAATGTAATGTGACCCAAAACACCAGGGTTCCCCTCTCCATCTCTGCCTAGGAGCTGGTTAGCTGAGCAGTAATTGGCAGTCTCTGCCTGATTTGATACTTCACTCATTTTCAGTGTCACAGTTAGCAGTTTGCACCTTCTCTCTGCAATACTACTGTCTATCCAGGTGTTTGTGGAAGAAAACCCTGTTCTTGATGTATCAGCTTATTTCCTCCTTGTCCCCATTTCCCCTATCAAATTTGAAACCAGTCTTCTGTATGCCATGGCATACAGAAGGCTGTGTATCTCTCTCAATAGCATCCTCTGCCCAATATTTGGGGTTTTCTAATGTACTAGAATCAATGTACCACTCTGGTTCCAGCAGCCCAAAGGTATCTGGCAAGATATGCAGGCTGGAATCACAACTGGTCATTTATGATCAGAGTTTTGATGAATTTCACATGGAACATGAAGGATTGATAATTTCATTTACACTGAAGACTCTAAGCAATTTCAGGCAGGCCAAGTAACCCCTGAACCCTCTGGGGAAGTTGTAAAGGTTTCATGTCAAATGGCAAGAGGAAGATAATTGCAATGCAGAATCCATGAATATTCTGACCATAGGGACTGTGTTGTGTTTGTGCTGCAAGACACAAAAAGGAGAGATTGTGCCTCCTAGTTTAGAGAGAGATATTGTAGGTTTGAATTGACCTAAGGAGCAATTGCAGCCTTACAATATATCCATCTTGTAATATATTCCTCTGTTAGTAAAAGCATTCAGGATTTCTTTAAATAAGGTGTGAATGGCAAAGATGTATTGACAGCACAAATACAAAAAATGCAGATGCACATAACTGAGGCAGAGTGTCACAGAGAAGTCTCTGCTGTACTGTCTCAGGTTTTGTTCCCCTGCTAAACTAACCCTAATAGAAGGGTGTGTGCAATACGTGGCAGTATGGCTGTACCACAAGGGCTGGCTTTGGAGGTAGTCTTTTTTTGTCTCTGGAAAGTTTATCATAAAGGAGACTAGAAAATAAAAGTTCTTTCTGTAGCAGCACTACAGGAATCTTACATTTGCTTCAACTAAAAGCTGACATCTTTAACTTGTTATTATTTTCATGTCCGTGAGTCAGTGGATCAGGTAGGGTGCCAGTTCACAAACAAGGCTAGAGCAAAACACAGCTCAGAACAGTACTATAGTGGGAGTCACATGACTGAGCACAGGGCCATCATGAGAGCCTAGGGAGGTTGAGAAAGGTGGGGAAATGCTGATTTCCCATTGTCCAAGTTCAAGCAGCTGGAAAACTGCTTCCAAAATTTCCATGCCACAAGCAACTTATACCTAGAATAGAAATGGAGAATCAGTTATGTGCAGCACTCATATGTCTGAATCAGTCCAAATTCTGCTTCTGTTCTGTATCCAAAACTGTTTGTGTAGTAGCTTCTGTAGGGCTTAAGTAGTTAGGAAGCTCCTCATTCTCTGCAGAATATTTGTCCTTAGCCAGCAACACTCATAAATCTAGTAAATAACTTCCTCTCAGAGATTTTTGGTACCATGCATCATCTCAAGAATCTGAACAGAACAGTTCTGCACCTCTTCCTCATGCGTAAGATCATTGCTTTGCACAGATGTGAAGCAGTGGCATTTCTAGGAACCAGCCCACCACTATGATTCAAAAGATTTCCACAGATTTTGCTTTTCGTTTTGTCTTCCTGCAAGGTGGCAGCATGATCTCCATTAACAAGCTGTTGTAACAATCCCACCCAGGCATCCAGCCATTCCCCCAGAATCAACGGCAGACACAGCAAGCAGTTCTTCCCCTCCCAGAGAAAGCCTTGCAGCAGACACAAGCAGAGGCACAGCTGGGCTTAACACAACCTCAGATTCTTGGTTTTTTAGCTGCGTTCACTGCTGCCATGGGCATGTATTCACTGTTGTACTCATGGGAGTTGGAGTCACACTTCTGATTCTGCCAACAGAGAGAAAATGCCATGAATTTAATTTGTGGTCACTTACCTTTGCCACTCCTGCCTTTGTTCATTAAGTAGGGCAGTTACTCTGTTTTCAGTGGGAACATTAATGTCAGAATGGACATGTCAAACTTGGAATAAAACAAACTGAAAATTAAAAACACACATTGCTCAAAAGAATAGCTAATGTCCTTGGTCTTTCTTCTTTCCTGAGTAAAATCTAAGTGGTTTTGCAGCAGAACAATTGCTCCACTGATGACTGTTTCCCCTTCTTAAAGAAAACTATCAGTGGAACTGCTTACGAAAATACTTTTGCTGACCTGTGCAGCATTTCTCCTCTTTTCTTTGGTTCAAAGCCTTTAAATCAAGAAACAATTCAGTCTTAGAAAAATTAAATCTGAGCTACTGTCATCAATTACTTGAATTCCAGTGGTAAATTAACAACTCAGTCTTTTTGTCAAAAATACAGCACTGCTGAGTGAGTATGTTCGTGTCCCACTCTCTAAATCTCATTAAATCAAGTTCATCCATGACCTTTGGGAGAAGGGTTCTGCATTATTTCATATGTTTGCTTACCTTGTTCCTTAAGCAACAGGCCACAACACAGCAGACAAAGGAAATGACAGAAATGATCACGCTGATAATAATCCACGTCATGAGTCCAAGTGAAAAGCAGTCCTCTTTATCTGAAGATGGGGAGGCAAAAAAAAAAGTCATTACTGATAATTTTTATTTTTGCCTTCTACAGATAACTTCAATTTTTTTCCCTCTTCATATTAATAGATTAACAAAAGTGAACTCTGCAGAAGGATTTTGCTGAGGTGACTTGTCACCTTGGAAAAGTGTATTCAGTAGGAAGCAGAAGATGGCATTTTTTCAGAAAGAAAGGGGAAACTTGGTACACAGCGCTGAAAGTGTAGACTGAAAAGAAATCAAGCCAGGCTTGACAGCATGCAGAGAAAGAAAATAAAAAAGCAGAAAAATCCCAACCTCCAACATGGTGTTTCAGATCTGAACAAGTTTTAAGCTTATATGCAGTAAGTACCACAGGTTATTTTAAGGGCAGCCTGTCAAAAGAAGGGTAGACTTTGGCAGTCGTGTTTGGATAGGGAGGCAAGCTGAGGTACTCAAGATTGCCCTCGCCCAGGTCTGGGAGAAAATATGACAGGGTGTGAAACATTTAGAAAAATCTCTGAGCATCTAGCTATCCATACAAGTGGAAATGGACACTGCAGTATACTAAACAGCCACTGAATGAAAGCCAGGTCAAAATTAAAACCTGGGCAGTTAGTCTTCTGGAGTTAGTTCAAGCCCTTCTCAGTAAACGGCCAAAAATTCTCAACAGCTGTGCTTCACTTCTGCTCTAAGAGGGCCCTAAAGCTGAAAGTCTGCTTCACAGAGGTGAATACCATCTTCACACCTCAATGACATCCAAGAGTTCCATATACCACTACTAGTACAGATATTTTACCATTGATTTTTTTTAATCCTAGGCTTTTGAAGATGGCTCTCAGAATGGATTTTTTTTCCCACTGGCTATACCTAATCTTAACATTTATACTCAGCAACTTTAAAATGGACAAGAGAAATTGCTGTTGCAGGCAAAGGAGAGACTGCAGTACTCTAGAAGCTTTAGTCAAGCTAACTTGGGTGCCACCATCACCACACAAAGCATGACCTGCACAAGAAGATTAATCAAAATGGAGAGAAAGTGCTGAGCAGTGTGCCAACACAGCTCCACTGTTATCAGGCCCCCCGTGCAAGTAGTTTTAAGCTGCTTGGTCATTAGCTGTGTGAACTCTAAATCACATTCTTCACTGCAGCATAGCTATACCCAGTGTCTATTTATCAGTTAACTGAAGTGAGGGGAGAACTAAACTTACCTTGGATGTACAAGTAGGTTTCTTTCAGACAGCACTCTATGTAAGGAGGGGGTAAGAATATCTCCAGCCAGTATGTGTAAACGTCAATATGTTTTTTTTCCAGATTTTTGAGAATGAAAGTGGTGCTGCTACTTGAATTCTGTGTCTGACAGTAGGTGACATTACTCTTGGAGATAACTCTCTCTTTGCTCAAATGAAGTGCACAGATTTCCTTCTTTTCACTCCCTTTGAAGAGGGTCATGCTGAATTCACTCACATTTTTGGGGTTGGGGAATGTGAAATGGAAGTTTCCATTTTCAAATTCCACCATCACCTCAGCGTCAGAGATACGGGCCTGATCTGAAGACATGAAAACAATAAGTATAGTCACACATATAGCAGTGAAAAGAATCCTTAAAGTGTTAAGAAACTCATTTAAACAAACAAACAAACAAAAAAAAAATTAACCATGTGATTGTCATTTAAGGCATGTTGGTACTCAGAACAGACTGGTTGTGAAAAGCAATTCTCACAATGAGATACCACTGCATTATTCTGGTTATGCCAGACATTACTGACAAAATAAATGAGACCTGGCCAGTTATCTGTTAGCATTAGTGACCTTGATAATATTACTTACTACTAAAGCTACTAAATGGTGAAGTTATATTACTTACAATATCAGTTACTAGATATTGTTTAATAGCCCCCCCGGACCAAACACTGTATAGACATATAATCCCTGCCTCAGTGTCACATTGTCCTGTTCATAGATAAAACAAGTGGAACAAAGATTATAATGATAATAATTATCTCTGATTTATGGTTTGTAATCTGTACCCTACTGAACATGCAATTATAGAATCATTTAGATTAGAAAAGACCCTTAAGATCATGAAGTCCAAGCATTAGCCCAGCATTGCCAAGTCCACCACCAAACCATGTCCCTAAGTGCCACACCAACATGTCTTTTAAATTCCCCCAGGGGTGACAACTCTATCATTTCTCTGGGCAGCCTGTTTCAATTCTTGACTGCTCTTTCAGTGAAGAAATTTTTCCTAATCTCCAGTCTAAATCTCTCCTCGTGCAACTTGAGGCCATTTCCTCTTGTCTTGTCCCTTGTTACTTAGGAAAAGAGACTGAACTTTACCTTGCTGCAGTCTCCTTTCAGGTCGATGTAGAAAATGGTAAGTTCTCCCCTGAGCCTCCTTGTTTTCAGGCTAAACAACCCCAACTCCCTCAGACACTCATTTCATCAGCTCTGCTGCCTCCTCTGGACCCACTCCAACACCTCAATGTCTTTCCTGTAGTGAGGGACCCAAAACTGGACACAGGATCTGAGGTGTGGCTTCACCAGTGCCGAGTACAGGGTGAAGGTCATTGCCCTGGTCTTCCTAGCCACAAAGTAATTGATAGAGGCCAGGATGCCACTGCCTTTCTTGGCCACCTGGGCACACACTGGCTCATGTTCAGCTGGTTGCTAGCTTGCACCCTCAGGACCTTTACCAGGCAGCTTTCCAGACACTCTTCCCTCAGCTTGTAGGGCTGCCTGGGTTGTTGTGACCCAAGTGCAGGACTCGGCACTTGGCCTTGTTGAATCTCATACAATTGATCTCGACCCATTGATCCAGCCTGTCCAGAGCCTTCTTGTACTCCCACCTAACACTTCCACCTAACCTGGTGTTGTCTGCAAAGTTATTGAAGGTGCACCCCTCATAGAGGTCATTGACAAGGATATTAAATACTACTGGCCCCAAAACTGAGCCCTGGGGTACCCCACTTGTAAGCAGCCACAAGATGGATGTAACCCTGTTCACCACCACTCTCTGGGCCCAGTAACCCAGCTAGTTTGATGATGTGGCTGGAAATTGAAAATGGGATGTGAATCCCAAGCTCCTACGTGTCTACCTTAACCACAGGACCCAACTTGTCTTTGTGGAGTAGATAGTGGTTTGAGACATGACATAAAGTTTCAACCTAATTACTTTGACAGCTATAGCACCATTATTGCTCAGATAATAAAACATGTAGAGGAAAAATGTTACCATGTGTGTGCACCCACTTGCAATCCAGAAATCACATTTGACCCTCCCAAAATTTCTATGAAAAGCTCTCAGATGTTGTTGTGTGACTCTCATTTTACAAACTTCTTGGAAAAGGAAAAAAAAACTGAACTGATTGAAGACATCCTGCTACCTCACAGCTTGACTTTGTAAAGTCAGCAACCAATAGCACAGAAAACTCCATCAAATAGAAATATGTTAAAATGTGCAGTTAAAAATGACAGTTTTTTTCTTTAAGGCAGTATTTTCTGATGTAGAAAGGCATTTAAAACTGTAAACCAAATTAGACAAATGCATCTTACCTATATTTTTGCATGCACATGATGAGCAGCTGTCAACTCCTGAAAAATACAAAGTTATTTTCTTTTTAAAGTTCAAGAAGAGCGATGCAAGAACAGAGAGTTAACCATGCAGTGTTAAGATGCTGAAGCTATTTTATAATTTGTATCATTATCATATCTCATCCTTTCTGTGCTACACTCTAAAGTAATATGATATGATAAAAGGATTAAATATAAAAATCAAAGTAGAAAGAAAATGCTCAAGACAAGAATTTATATTGATCATACATATAACATTCACAAATTCTTAAAACGCCTTTGCAAAGTAATACGTGTACTTCAGAAATAGAACTGACATTAAAGCAAAACTTTCACCAAGATACTGAGGAAATTTGCCTGAAATAAAAAAGATTTCTCATGAGTCCTGATTTTGCAATAAGCCAGCATTATACTTTTCCCAGACTAAAGTACTCATTTCCATCAATGTTTGTCCTGCTTCCCCCACTGCTTGACACAGCACCAAAACATCTTATAATTATCTGGATCATGTTCCAAAACATACATCAAGAAAACATTCAAGCAATGCATATGGTTTTGTTCCTTTTCCAATAGCTTTTTTTCTTATTGTTCATAGGTGATCTTCATTACAGAACACAGTTTTAATAATTGTTCTGGTTTTGTTTTTTAAACCGCTGCCTCCATCACCACACACTATGCCAACACTTTGAAATGATTTGTGTGTCAGTACTGGCAACATAGCAGAGTTTGACAGTGTTTCATTTGGAATTTTCCTTTTTGCAGTGCCCTAAAATTAAATGTTCCGACAGATAAACAGAAAAAAATTCTATCTGCTGTTCCTGTTTTCTGGTAGCCTGAGTAAACTCTTCAGATGCTGCTTAGAATGAAATATATCTACATCAGGATTTTATGATGCTAAGGAAATACAAGGCAAATACTTAAGGACTTTGGTGCACTGTCCTATTCATGTTACAGCTACATGGTAGTCTAGATAGATCCACACAGAGTAGACTCCCAGCTGTGCCAGGTATTGCACTGCGTGCATAGTATAAATATTTTTTTTTTCCAAGGCACCTGTTATCTTTGACATTAACCTGTAAATGCACAGGAACATAGGATCATTCTTTTTTGGGTACCTTTGTATGATCTCAACTCTTTCAGTCTTTTAGTGTTCATGCTTTTTTCCTTTTTTAAATTCTTCCTCCTCAGTTACTGCCATTGGCAAGGGCACTGAAATGAATGACACTCATTTAAGATACCTTTAGTGTGACACAGAAGCTAATGGACTTCTGGAAGATACTTTGCAATGCTCAGTTAGAGAACAGTAGAAACTGTTATCCCTTCTTGACTGATTTACCATTTCGCTAGTCATCAAATTCTTCCTGGTTTACTGTGCACAGTCAGCACCCTTATCTAATTCTGTGACAGTTCTAATATCTGTACTTCTCTCAGGACTATTACTTAAGTATATGATAACAGACAAGGTATTTAGCATCTTGTACCACTGGTGTGAAGACAAGATAGAGAAAACAGACAGCTTGCCAAGCCACAGTGAAATAGAGCTCTAGAACCACTGAAGGCACAGACAGAAAGTGGAAAGTGGAAGCCCTTAAAATTTTATATAGTCTGAAAAGATAAAAGCAAAGGTCAAATAAAGAAATAATTCTTGATGACTTATATGTTGCATGATGAAAGAAAACAGTTGCTATGAGAACAGCATTTGAGATAAAGGTCATTTTAAACACTCTGCAGTTTTACATCCTGTAGTTCAGTAACATATACCTTTAAAATTCAACCAAACACCCAACAAATTATTTAGGGAAGGGAAGAAAAAAAACAAATGTACAGCAGAAGTTAGGGAGCATGATGAATGCATAAATTTATCTGATACTTTTGAGAAGAACCTACCTGAAGGTGAAACCTCTACATTTGTCACTAGTCATCTGAGAGGAAAGGCAGATGCTGACTCTGTCAGGGCAGCTACAGAGCCAAGCAGTTCCATATTCCTTTGATGTCGCAGAGGAGCCTGGGACAACTCTACTCTGAGCACTAAAGTAACAACTTCAGACCTGTTTTCCCTGTTTGTCTCTGAGAATAGTTCAATTTCACTGTTAGCTAATGAAATTGCCCTCTCATACCATGTGGGTTAAAATGTTTGTCAGAGATCATGGTTTTAATCCTTGTTTTTAATGAAGAGGGGCAGAGGGAGGTCATTAAGCATTTAGTTCATGTGACCTTGTGTCGAGCTGAAAGATTGTTTTGTATTCTCTCCAACCCAGAAGCCTAAAATGACTGTTTTCAAGGAAAACTCAGTAAAGTATTTCTCTGAATGAGCATTTTCGTAAATGTGATGCAATTAGTATTCCTCTGAAACAAGTAGCTGTAGAGAAGAGTGTGCTTAGCATAGGATAAAAGCAGCACATTTTAGAATTAGATTAAAAGTGCCTGAGATTAAAACACAAAATTGTCTACAAGGATGGCCACAGTGGGTGAGAGCTGATATAAATTTCCAATTCACTAGCTATTCTGCATCAGCACCTAATTTGAATGCACTTGCTGAATACTAAGAAATTGCTCATTCCCCCTCCCTGTTCCTGACTGCTGATCTTCGGTGCCCACTTGTACCCATTCATTGCTAGGTAATGATATGGACTTGTAGCACTCTGTTATTAATGGCTGGACACATTTGGGATGTTTGTCACCAAGCTGCAGTCAGAATGAATGTACATTTAGTAGGATGTGAGATAGGAACCTGGGGTTTAAACATCCAGTTATATTGAGAGATTTCCTGACTAATTCTCCCTAATTCTACCTCAAAAATATGTGAATCAAAGTCTACATTATGATATTGTTGCAATTAAACAGAAGAATTGCACTGGGTCAGCAGTAAAAATGTTTAGTTTTGGCTGAAAGATTCCTTATTGTTATTTCTCATTTAAAAAAAATAAATTCTTCCATTGCATATAAAGGTTTGAGAAAAGAGAAAACAAATCTATATTTTGTTTCCTAGCAGTGTCACAATGTGGAGTTGCAAGAAATTGTTCCTGGCTTACCTGGCGAAGCAGAGTGCCAAGACAAATATTGTGGTTTAGATATAAATCAAAGATATTAAGGTGTACGAAAGTTACATCTTGTTATGTTAAGCTCTGAAGGACAGCTTGTGTGTGTGTGTACATTTCTGTACAAGTGTTTTTACAGTCACGTACATTTCCACCTCAAATTCATCTTTAGTGCAGCAGGAAAACCTTTTGGCAGAAGTTTGGGAATTTCTGTGGTAGGGTGCTTGGATACTGACACCAATGGAAAGTGTGTTATTTTCATTTTAATGGGATTGCAATTTTGAGCTTTCTAGTTATTCTTTGGCAGACTCAGCACTATTTGAAAACACCCCCAATCCGTTACACATTTTGGTCCTAACAGAAGTTTCAAAACCACTTTCAATCACTTTTCAAGCTTGGGGTTTAGGCCAGGAGAACAGAATAATGCTACTTTGTTTTCTTGCTGTTTGTATGATCTGCCCTAGCTCTCAGAAAACTAGCTAGCTGATGAAAAGAACAAGCATAATTTCACTCGTTTGTGTTTGCCTCTGAAGATGAGCAAGGAAATCGCAGACCCTGCCTTTAAAGCAAACACATTTATTTTGTTCATACTAAATGCATAATGAAACTGCACATAGCTTTTAAGCTGCTATAGTTTCAAACTTCCAAGGCACTCTGAAAGGTGGCACTGTCAATGTAGTGTCATTAGTCATCTGCCTAAAACTAACACATTTCTATCTTTCAAGATCCAGGATTAAGTGAGGAAGGAGTGCTTGTGGGCAAAGCAGTAATGGCCCAATTTATTCTAGGAAGCCATCTTTAATCTGAATTATTTCTATGGTATAACTTATGTTGAGAAATGCTAAATTCATATAAAACACACCACGGAAAAAACAGACAGTGCTGAGAATATTTCAGAAGCCCTTCTAAAAAATTACCATGGTTTCCTGCTGTATTGACAACAGGAGATCCATGGGTGAAGAGTGATAACTCTTTGCAAATATTGGTGTGTCAAAGCTTATATGCAGTTTCATAGCAAGGGTCTCAAGTTCTATGGAATCCTGCCTCCAGCTCTGTACTCCAAAATCCCATTGCCTGTGTTTTTCTGTGGGCAACAGAGAGGCTCCCTGCTATTATGAACAATTTCTTTACCACAATTGGGTTATCAAATCCTGATGCACATATGCACACATAAATATCACCTCCTGTGACCTATTTACATCCAGAGGTCACAAGTTATGCTGAGAACACTGTAAGACAAAAAACATGAGAGATACAATTTCTTCTTACATGCAGTCTCTTTCTCTTGTCATCTTTCGCCCAGTCTCCTGCCCAAATCCTATCCTCCATATTTGAAGGACAGTAGAAATACTGGTATCAGACAGAACAATTATTTACACCCTTAAAATTACAGTTTATTTCTTGCCACGAGGAAGAGCTTTCTAGATAGCTTCAGTCATGTGTAAAAACATGCTGGTCAGGTATTCGTGCTAAACTGACTAGATGAGAAGTAACCTAACTGAAAGCACTTTTTGTTAGTAGATTTAGGAACAACTTTCCAAGGAGGAAAACTGAAGTTCTTCCTGAAAATTCAGAAGTACCTAAATTCCATCCCTTTTCACTAGAATTTCAGGAACAAATATTTAATAGCCCTTCACATGACCATCAAAGAGTGTATTTAGATGGTGTTTAGTAACTGTGCACACTAAATCTCAGATCTTACTTATATGATGCATCATACCAAATCCTTGGACAGAATATGTATGGAAAAAAGACTCTTCTTAATCTGTTATTATCTGTATTTCCATGCTGAATATGTGCATTTCAGAGAGGTTACAGGTAAAGCTGTGATATTTTACTTTGCACAGCTGGGATAAAACACTGAATCTTGTTAAATGCTACATCCATATTTAAGGCTGGACTGAGATTGGTGCTGTCACTGTGCACCTTTTCAAACACAGCATAGGAATTCCATGCTTCCTTTTAAGTCTGTGTTTCAAGCCTGCACCAAAATGACCAAAATTATCCACTTTTCCATGCCATATACATTTTTCATTGTATAGAAATTCCCTGCCCAAATGAGAGCAGGTTTAATATTGATGACTTGGTTTCTCTTTATTATTCACCATCATGCTGCTATGAGATCTTATATCCATCAAGGGAAGCTGGCTGGAGCACTACAATCTCAACAGCTAAAGGGTAACACTGAGCAGATGAGCTAAAGAACATAAACACCAAAAAATTGCAGGAATTCTCTTCCCACCAACTCTAGTGATGTTGAAGTTGAGAGCAGTCTTTTTGCAGACAATACCCTCCATTACCTTTACTCCTCCAACCCCCTGCTATCATGCCTCATCTACTATCTCCCATCATTGGCTAAGTTATATTCTATAGAGACACCTACTGCAAGGAGAATAATCCAAAATGTTACTCACCATACAGGGCTTCAAACTGAAAGCAGAGGACACAGAAAGTTAGAGCAACTGCCTTCATGCCTGCCTGACACAGAGGCATCAACCTTCTGTCTGCTGTGAAGATGGGGAAGAACACATGGGTAGAAAAGGAAGTGGTTTGTGGGCTCTGGCAAAAACTGTAAGATAATCAGAATGACTTTTTAATTTAACATTTGTCCCCTGATTATATTATAGCTATGTCAGCATTAGCTGTTGAACATACCTGGTTTAATGCTTTATTTTTTTCCTACCTAATGGTTTGCTGTCACAGTCAAGAGGATGAAAGACTTTCTGACGTTACTTTTGATGTTCGCTTTGCAAAGACTGGTTTCTGGTAAAGTCTATCACAATAGAGGCTGCAGTCATCTACAGCAGACTTCTGCAGATGGCCCATGGTCGGCAACTAATAACAACTTACAGTACATACACATTTATAACTGGCAACCTGGTTTCTCCCCACCAGTTTCAACTGGTTTTGCATAACTAATGATCTTGCTCTATGTGGAAACCACTAGTTAGTGGGTGTCTTGGTCCTGAAATTCATATGAAGAACATGGCCAAATTGCAGAAAGATCCCTTTGGCCCTGCAACTTCTGAAAGGTTCACTGCAGCATGGCTTCCATTCTGGAGATCAGGCTTGTTTTGCCTGAAGTTTCATGAGAAACTTCATGTGGCTCTGTGAGATGAGATCTGACTTTGTGCCCTAGAGCCTTAAGTAAAAAGGTTCTCTCCTTCCCTCTTCCTTGCCTTTGTGCAGCACACTCTATCCTGGCCTGTTATCCATCTTTATCCTGGGAATGTTTTAGGACGTTTGTAACATGTTCTACAATAATTCTAGCTGCTTATTTATGTCTATAATACTAAATTTAGTGCAGAAAATATGCAAGAAAACCATCTTCTCAGTTGTGTTTAATATATTAGATGAAGTTTGCATTTCTGATTGCACAAACAAAAAAACACAAAGGACTGCTAGTGGTGCCTGACAGACACTTTTGGGGTTGAGTCTTTGTAATGGTCAAATAATTAGAAAATAATGGGACTGTGTTACAGATTCACTGCTACTTTATACTGTGTAAGTAAATCCTCACATGTTGGTTTACTCTTCTTCAAAAAGTGATTTAATGTCTTTCACTATTACTGTTAAAGATCAGATCACATGGATATTGGCAGAGTTTTACTTTCTTCAAATCCTTCCAAATCTCTTCAAATCTATTCCTTTTTTAAAATTGCAGTAAAACTGAGTCAAATCAGGTGTTGATCTAAATTTTCAGCTCAAGTTTCTGGGGCCAAAATTAAGTAATTCTAAGTAGAGAAAGTTTCTGCAGTATGCTTTTAATTCTAAAGCCCAAAAGTATATGGTGGTTCAAACAATGATACACCTACAAAACATACATCAGGCTCCTGAGATTCGTCTATGAAGTTATAAATTATATTAGGATGTACTGAGGTTCCAGGTAGGATAATCTTTTCCATCCCCTATAAAAGCTAATGGGAAGTGCTGAATGAACAGAACAACCCTCTCCTGAGACCTCTCCTGACCTTTACTGCCGTCCAAATAAAATCAAGAGTGGCCCCTAGAAAGGCCCATAGTAAGAGGAGCTGCTGCTGCAGAGAATTAAGGGTGGAAGAGAATCATGTGTCTAGTACCCCTATGCACATCCTTGGGAGAGCATGGTGACAACACACACCAGAGACTGAGTCCTACGAGCCTATCACTGACTGGGAAGGCAAATAAAGGTGTAGGAGTATTTAGCAAATAGTAATAGCAAATTTTTTGCTACTTTTTTTCTGAAAACAAGCTTTAAAATAAATCAGTATTGTTAGGGTTCCAAAATTTGTTGTCTTTCTTTAAAATTTTAAGCATTTTGTTAGGAAAGTAATTTTGTTAGAGAGGATTTTTTTTTTTAACCAATGTATTTATTTTGGAGCAACTTACTCCTTCCGTCCCTCCCTATAACCATATCAGTTACACCAAGGCAGAGATGATTAATACACATCTTTTTCAGTTTTAGGGGAAGAATAGCTAGGAGCACAGATTGGCTGGTATACATCTTACTACAACAAGTGAAGAAAGTCTCCCTGTCCAATTCAGATATGTCAAGTCCTCTCTATAATTATATAATTATAATAGTCCTTACTATAATTATAGCTTCAAGTCTACAATTACACCTTCTCCTTTTCTGCTTCTTGGCACTTGGGATGGCTAGAACACACTGACCCCTTTATTTCAAAAGGGTCGAGCCCAGAGAATAGTTTGCAGTACATTTGGCAGCACTCTGAAGTTTGACCTAAACAGCGATTCCAAGTGTATTTGCTGATGAGGCGGCAGAGCCAGGGTTACTCACAGCGTATATTCACAAGCGAAGGGACTCAGTCAAGCTCTGCACTCAGTGTGGGGGATTCTCCCCTTCTAGTCCCACACCAACAGAGACTCCTCCTCTGCCTTTCAATCTTTCCATCTTTGCCTCGCTCCCCTGTCAGCACTTATCTACTTCACAAAGGCATTGTTACTGCAATTTTGAAGTGTTTCTTCTAAATACCACAGTTGGTTACGGTTAAACACCTGGAACAAGTAGTCTGTTTCCACAGGCTTCCTACAACTGTAACTATTTTTGCTCACAAACACGTGTTTCCTTTTTCCATCCTCACTCATTTCTCTTCTTGATTTTAACTCTCCCATCCACCTATGCCTCTCAGAGCTGACTTCTTTCCTCCTCCAATGTGACTGTCCCCCAGTCCCTGAGTACCCTGCTCCTCAAGCAGTAGTTTCCCTTCACCATGTGCAGTAACTCCTGTCTGGAATGTAGCTTTTCCTCCACACCATGCCCTATTCTTTCTTCATGTCCTACTCCTAATGCTACCCTATAGTGATAATCTCCTTTCCTTCCCATCATCTTGCTTCTGACTGTTTGAAAACTGGAAAATCCTCACGTGAATTTTTGTGCCTTTAAAAATGCATTCAGCGATACACTGAGCTCTGAAGAGAAATGGGCTTGCTCATCCCTTGGTCCATACACCAGTGTTCTCTACTACACAGTCTTCAGTGCTTCTCCCTTCTAACTCCAAGTAACTTGGAAAACAATACTTCTGCAGTTTCCCCAAAGACACAGCAAAGAATTTCTGTGTGTGACGTATATTAATTTCTTTGCTCTGTTTAATCACATAATTACTGTTATCACACAAAACAAATGTCCATGTTAGTGAAATGATACTGCATGGTCCACTGTGAAACCAAGGTGCAGTGAAGAATTTTATTCCACGTCACCAGCAGTTTTCCACTTCTGCTCACGCATGAGCAGTTGCCCACAGCAATAGTCTCTCCATAGAATGTTTTGCAATTCTTTCTGTAGAGACTGCTACAGTCTATCCACACAAATTATATTCCATTGTCTCCTGCTGCTTCTCATTCTTTGCTTCAATATTTGGCCTATATTCTCATGACTCTGGGTCATTCCCTCAGGGCTGGAGCAGAAAGCCTCTACACTCATGGTTTTTCATTTCCTGTCCTCCTAATTGAGAAGGGGAACAATGACTTTCACTGTGCTATTTTTAAAGTTCTGTGATGGCTTTAAATCCCACTTCCCATCTGCACCACTCCCCATTAGGTGTGTAAACAAGCTGTAGTCATTCAGGATGTAGAGATTTCAGCCGAAACGCAGCTCATGTGCTCCCTCATTTGTTCTGATGCCTCCTTTGCTGATATATTGGTCTGGCCGCTCCCCCAGGCCTGTGGGCATGCTGTAATATTTTCTCCATCAATGTGCCAGTAGAGGCAACTGGGGCTCAGCTCAGCCAGCTCAGCAGCCAGGCAAACACCTCCCTGCAGGGCAGGTCTAATGAGACAGTCCCCTTTGGGGTGGGATTGTGCACAGATTTTCTTCTTGATACAAGCTCAGTTACGCCATTAATCATCACATCTTTTTGGGGTTTGTTTGTGTTTTTTTTTCCTTTGGTTAATGCTTGAGAATATTTGTCATCAAATTTCCTAAAAGAAGGGGGGGGGAAAGTATGTTCAGGAGTTTAGCCCAGGTCTAAGGCTTCCAAGGGTATTGACCTATACATTCAGTCGACAGGTGCTAAGTGGCAAATTCAGTCAAGTCTAAACAGGTTGCCTAAAGAGGTAGTAGATGCTCCCTCCCTGGAAAAAACCTAGTTGAAGACGTCACTGCTTATTACTGGACTAGATGGTGTTTAAAGATCCCTTCTAAGCCAAACTGTTCTATGATTCTAAATGCCTCTTCAGATCCTGGGACTAGTGTTTCGCACTGGCTGACTCAAGGCAACTGAGAGCCACCTAGGAAAAGAATGTCTCCATCTGATCTTAGGAACTGCTGTGGCTCTGTGTATCCAGCCCTGTCCCTCCTGGAACATATTTACCTGAAAGAGGTGCTGAACACTTCTTCAGGATGTGGGGCGTAGATAGAAAGGGCCCAATGAGGCTCAGGCACGTGTGTGGGTGGTGTGGAGTGCAGACCCACAGGGTGGCTGGGAAATGTTTACTGTCTTCAACAACAACAAAGGCAGTGACCATGCTCCTGCCCTTCGAAGTGTGCTAGGAAGAGGACTGTGAGCAGCAGGTACTTTTCACTGGCCTATGCTGGAGTGTGCAGGAGGTCTTTAGGAAAATACAAGGATTGTAGGTAGCCTGTGTTCAAGGGCAGTGTTCCAGAAGGAGGAGTGCATCTTCTGAAGCCGTTGCAGTTCCCTATGGCCAACATGGGCTGACTGGGACTTTTTTGCAGGGCCCCTTATACCTAGGTTTGGAAAGGAGGTCTTTCAGAACAGATGGCAAATATGTAAAACCCAAGTGAAGTGCTTGGTCTGGAGAGCAAGACTGTTACTGCCTGGCACTAGGGGGAGCAGTGCATGACAGATATATGTGGATGTGCTGGGCGACCATGGAAGTTATTCTAGGTGTGACAGTGAAAAATTATACCTAATTTGTAAAATTTCCACACCCAAACTCTTTCAAAGCTTGCAGTAGGGGGGGGCACCCCTATTATGTGGTTATCTGGTCAGCTGCCTTTGAGGAGTTAGGATTCTGTGGCGATGCTTGGGGTTTGTGGTG